AAAGAGGATGGAGCTAGGCTGTTCTCAGTGGTGGCAGATGACAGAACAAGGAGCAATGGTCTCAGATTGCAGTGGGGGAGCTCTAGGTTGATATTAGGAAAAACTGTTTCACTAGGAGGGTGGTGAAGCATTGGAATGGGTTACCTAGGGAGGTGGTGGAATCTCCTTCCTTAGAGGTTTTTAAGGCCCAGCTTGACAAAGCCCTGACTGGGATGATTTAGTTGGGGTTGGTCCTGCTTTGAGCAGAGGGTTGGACTAGATGACCTCCTGAGGTCTCTTCCAACCCTAATCTTATATGATTCTATTTTATGATGCAAAGCAAAGCCTTGATTTTTCTACCCTTCCTTCCTTGCCGAGTACCATTTAAACAAACCAGTAATAGTAATAATACCGCTACTATAGGCCTGTGCCTAAGGGAGACAGGCTTCCATTCTCTGGCCTCCTCTTTTCTAAATAGCCAGAGGGTGCTGATTCAGTGATGTGCTACATTAAGTACTTTCCCATGGGAGAATCACTTTGAATAGACTTGTTCTTAACACTGGCATCCTGCAGCTCTGCTAGGTGAGGAGTGCCAGGGAGATATTGTCAGTCAGGCGAGAGCTGTTTATGAAACCAGCTTACAAGTCCCCTTTCCTGCCATTGCCATTTGCCAATGGTGCCCTCTGGGGGCGGTTCTGGCGGGACAGAAACTGAACTGGTTTTGAACAAAAAGGAAGTTTATCTTTATTTTGTAGTTCTTCCAGATGAGTCTAGTGGAAGGCCTTGCTGAGAGGAGGGTTGCTGGGAGGAGGAAGTGGTGGGAATTTTTAACTGAGCTGAGGGAAAATTCAGGGGAAGTGGAGTTTTAAACAGAACATAAATAAATCTTTTCTGCTTGGTTTTCAATGTCAGCCAAAAGTTAACCTTATCAAGTATGGGCCACTTCTCCTTTTCCATAAGAGGACTTAGCCCAGGGTTGTAATGATACTAATGGACTGCAACTTTGTGCTGAGAAAAGGAACCCCAGGACTGGTACCTCTCAGGTAGGGTGGTCAGATGAAATGAACCCCAGCACTAGAGACACTCCTACAAGTTGGATCCAGGAGTCTAGGTCCTGCGTCTGCTCCCATTTAAGTAAGTAAATGGCAAAACTTCTAATTTCAATGGGGAGAAACAGGCCGTTTGTTTGGTCGGTGAGATAAGAAAGAGATCCTGCTGCACTGCCACACCCCAGCCCTCTGGAGTTTCTCAGGGGTTGTCTACACAGCAAAATCTGCATGGGCGAGCTACCCACGTTAGCTTGAATCCAGCTAGTGCAAGTAACAACAGCAATGAAGACAGGTGAGAGTAGGCTAGTAAGCTCAGTACATACCGAGCGTCTGTGCTGGGCTTGTGTTACCCACACTGAAGCCTGTGTGTAGATAGAACAAGAGTACTTGTGGCACTTTAGAGACTAACAAATTTATTAGAGCATAAGCTTTCGTGGGCTACAGCCCACCTCTTCAGATGCATATGAAGAAGTGGGCTGTAGCCCATGAAAGCTTATGCTCTAATAAATTTGTTAGTCTCTAAAGTGCCACA